TGTTTTCTTCAGTTTGTTAAATCCTTTCACTCACAACTCCAATACATGTCTTCTATTTCCTATCAAACCATCTCATTTCTTGACTTAAATATTTTTGTGTCTAAAAGTGGCCATCTTACCACATCTGTACATTGCCAACCAAGGGTCACACATAGCTACTTACATTACCATTCCAGTCACCTTCCATACGTTAAAAGAAAAATTACCAAATTACATAAATTCTACAGTAATGACCAGGATTATATTAACAAATCTACTGAGATGCTTCACTTTTTTTACCCTAATACTCTCCTTCATCATATAATCTACATACACATAACAAGCATTCAAATGTAGTTTTTAGAAGTTTTATAGCTCAAATCATATCAGTAATTCTAAAACATTGCCAAATTACAGATTCCAATGATGTGTCCAACATCAATATTACCAACACACTTCTACTGTCATTGATCATAAATACATTCTCTTATCCTTATGTATCACCCATTCAACACATAAAACACTCATATCTTCAACCAACACACTTCTGTTGTCAGTGATCATAAATACATTCTCCTTATGTTTATGTATCACTAATTCAAGACACAAATTACTCACATCTTCACACTTCTACTGTCAGTATCATAAATACATTCCCCTTTTGTTTATGTATCACCTATTTATCACATAAGTCACTCATATTTTTAATCAACACACTTCTACTGTCATTGATCATAAATAAATTCCCCTTATGTTTATGTATTACCCATTTATCACATAAGTCACTCATATCTTTAATCAACACACTTCTACTGTCAGTATCATAAATACATTCCCCTTATGTTTGTGTATCACCCATTTATCACATAAGTCACTCATATCTTTAATCAACACACTTCTACTGTCATTGATCATGAATAAATTCCCCTTATGTTTGTGTATCACCATTCAACACATAAATAACTCAAATTCTGCTTAACAACTTACACATCATAACATACGACAGTACTATGAGACACATATTTCCTAATAAGCCCTAATTTCTTATAAATGTGACACTAATATTAAAAATGTAATCCTCAATAATTAGTTTCCAAACAATACAAAACAATCGTGTGATATTGAATTTGATACACAAAATTGTCAGAGGAGCAGATGCAACACTTATCCTTAGATTAATCATAGAATATCTGTTTATGGCTCTGTGTCAGTCTATTCTGTTAATAGCTATTTCACCTGTACATAGAATATCTGTTAAAAGCTTTATGTCAGTCTATTCTGTTAATAGCTATTTCACCTGTACATAGAATATCTGTTAAAAGCTTTATGTCAGTCTATTCTGTTAATAGCTATTTCACCTGTACATAGAATATCTGTTAAAAGCTTTACGTCAGTCTATTCTGTTAATAGCTATTTCACCTGTACATAGAATATCTGTTAAAAGCTTTACGTCAGTCTATTCTGTTAATAGCTATTTCACCTGTACATAGAATATCTGTTAAAAGCTTTATGTCAGTCTATTCTGTTAATAGCTATTTCACCTGTACACTTAAATGTTTAATTTATTGTATCATCTGTGTCAAATGTGACCACATTTATGGAGGAGAAAACATTTGAAAGCTCGGTGAATACACATGAGAACACTTGCATAGCAATTCGATTAAAGATCAGTGTAAGCCTGTAGTTTGGCACTTCAACAAAGTTGGTCATTCTAATGTGCATTTTAAAGTGATTGCCTTTTGAAGTGCCCCATTAAACAAAGAATCAGAATTGAAAAATAATTTTTTAATTAGGTTGTATAAGTTCTTTTGGTACTGGCAAATGGTTCAGATTTTAATAAATTTTAAAAAGTGTTTTCCCCTTTTGTTTTTAATGTTTTTTAAAATTGTTCAAGTAATTTCTTCTTTTTTTCATGTTTTTTTATTTTGTTCATATTAACTGTTTTTTATATGTTTTGTTTATCTTTTCTTAATATTTTTTTTATTTTCACACTATTAAACAATAGCCTTTCTGTAGCTTCATTTTATTGTAATTCTGTATTGTATAAACCTTAAAATTCGTTCTAGTGTAACATTCTTTATTTTTTCATGTATTGTGTTTCCTGCAGAATGTCCTGTAGTAATCATAATTTGAAAAAGAGCATTTGCTCAAAACACTGCTAAGGAAATAAAAAATAAACCTAAATTTAAGGCAATTTATTGCTAAAAGTTTTGTTTATATGTATATTTTTGTGTGTTTATATATATATATAATTAAAAACGAAAAAAAGAAAGAAAAATTACATCATAATGAAGAATAGCATGAATTTAACAAAGCATATCCAAACCTTAATTGAAAAATAAATAATTGTAATATTATGTAGAAAATGAAAGCAAAAAAGAAAACAGAAACAACACAGCTACAAAACAGACATGTTCCACCTGTACTGGCAGAAGTAAGACCCAAATTGCATTGGGGGTACACCTTCTATCCAGTTTAACCTCAGTTTCGCTGGCCTCACATTCTTAACAATAATACTGATAATAAAACAAAAAATAAAATAAATAAATAACAAAGAGCAGATGTGGGTGCTCTAGACCACAACATCCCACATCTTTACCACCTTTCACTGTCTGTAGCCAGATGTGGGAAGGTGGCTGCTGAAAAAATAAAATAAATAAATAACAAAGAGCAGATGTGGGTGCTCTAGACCACAACATCCCACATCTTTACCACCTTTCACTGTCTGTAGCCAGATGTGGGAAGGTGGCTGCTGAAAAAATAAAAT